ACTGCATTATTCACCAAATCACATTCCTCAAAATTATCTCCCATACGTTTCTTTGTTATCTTTGTCTAACGGAAATACACATTTTACCGTTCCTTTGTATCTAAAGGAATACCCTCTAACGTTCTATGTAAACCACTCCTACTTCTTTATATATATATCCCTTTTTTGTATAAAGGTTTGGTCTGGACTAGTGCTCTTCTATAGTATTCTTATAACAGCCTTTGACTCACGGGCAAGCGATTTCTACTCGTTATTCTTCAATAATCCTCCTGATCAACCCTGTATTATATCAATAAAGCGGTAAAATTTATTCTGCGTCCTCACAACGTATATTCGACGTCTTCATAAGGTAAGCCTTTAATTAAAGTTCTGCTTGATCCTAACTCAAGACTAAACCTTCTAAATTTAAACGATTCGATAAAAGGATAATTTTTTCACAACATCTATGGCGGACCATTATGTGATGAAGAAATGGAGAGATTGAGTTGTTAGGCCTTACTTCATTATTTCCATTTATTCAACAATTGATAAGTACTTACTGCAATGACGAGTGAATACGAACAAAAGAGGAAAGAGAACCTTCCGAGACATTCTTCCTGGAGCACTGGATTACTTTTTGTATCACAGCGACGATTAGAGCGTTGTACGCCGAAGTAGCAATATTAGCAGTAATATTAGTGTTTGTTTCTAGGAAAAACTACATTCTTTCCTGTCATTTGAGAGAAAGGCGCGTTAGGAATGTAAATGATTTTTGAGTTTGCAGTCATTGCAAATCAGTTGAGCATATTCCTGTTTGGTAAATGATCTTGAACTACTGGATATCGTTAAACTAGTGTTCAAAGTCGTATTCATACATTTAAACGTAAAAGGTCGCGAGCAAAATTTCTCTTCCTCAAGTTATTTTTCGTTATTTTCATTGTTAGTTGCAACTTATTTTTGTGCTTTTACACTGTATTCAAATATCCTTAAGAATTGCAGTTATGTATATTGCTGTCATGAAGTCGAAAATGTTTTAAACGGAAATTGCGCTCACGCGAAAAGATTAATCCAAAAGATGAGCAATTTGGAATGCATTATTGAACATATATCTTTTACTAGCATCTGTTTGAATACGGAGGTAACTTTCATATGGACACACTTTTTAGAGGGCTGCATAATAATGTTTCAGATGTTCACTGCACTATGGTGGATAAGCTGTTTACCACCAATAAAAGGAATGGCATTTACTGATGTGGCAAGCTGAAATTAAAATGTCATTCATTTAAATCGTTTCTGTATGTTTGTGAGTTCAACTGCTACAACACTCCCAAAAGTGTGACTGGAATTGAATATTCTTTACCTCTTCATGAAATTGCCTGTTCTCTTCCAGGATGGCATTGTAAGCAAACTTTTTCCAGTGCTGAACATGTTAGCGGAGCATCCAGGAGTTTTTCCGAGCTGGCTTAGACTTATACTATACTTACATATACTTATATTATACTTACAGGACTTACATATTAGGACTTACATACATTTACCAATCGTGAATGTCGTTATTTAGCTTATCGATCTTCTAGCTACTGGATTCATAGCAATGAATCAAAGGCAATCGAATAAATTCGTCACTTTGTGTTTCTCACAAAAAAGTTGAAGTTTGTTTTCATTCAGGATTTTGATGCAGAAGTTCTTGGTCCAAATTCACAAGAAATTTCTAATGTAAAGTCTACCAGTTAGATTTCCTAAAGATATCCATTAGATGGAAAAATTTCGGCTGATTATCCAGGGCTATTTGCACTGTTTGGATCTTACTTCTTCGAAGAATACGAGGAAGGCGATGACATGTGCAACTATATCGATTACATTGAAACGTAATGAAAGCAAGAACGGAACTTTGCTTCGCCGAAATTTATTAAATGAACTAATGAAGCAATTCTCGTTCTTTTCTGGACTTCTACAGTTCGAAGTATTGGTTCTCCTATTAATAATGCCGCAAGTAACTGCAGTATATCACCTTAAAAAATGATAATTCTCGGTAATACTTGAGGAAGAACTAAGAAGGAGCTTCGGTCAGTATCCATTTAATATTCCTCCCTAATATTTTTGGTCCTGAATAGTCTCTGGAGTCACAGCTCCACCTTATCCACTGATTAATCTTTTTTTCATGTTGACTGCTGCAATTCTTGTCTTACGCTTGTTATGATTGCTGTTTGTGGTTTTCTGTTGTGGCCTTTTTCCAGGAGGCTAAGATAGTAACAAAAACCATGGTCTGAATAAAATTTGTAATTTATGTAATATTGCTCTATTAAATTTAATTATAACTCGAAATTAAAACCCACTACTTCACTTTTTAATCCTGGAGGTCTAAATTCATAGCGTAATATTGCACCTACCACATATGTTTGTCATAATATCTACAGAAGATGTGACTTAGGAATCGGCAGGAAAAGGAATTCAAGACATTCATTATGATTCATAACGAACCGACAGTCAACATGAAGGGAATATTAATCTTATCCTTTTCCTCACACTTGAGCAGAATGTTTTAAATCGTAATAATTTTGCACATAACAGCATATCCCTGAGCAGTACAAAAACGCGATTTATACAAAAACTTAAAACGGCAATGAATCAGAAAAAGACGAAATATCATTATCAATAGAAATTATTCAGTGTGGGTCAGAATCAATAAAATCACAAGCTACTGACAAAAACCACGGAAATTTTGGGAAAAATAAGCGTAATAAATAAAACGCAAATAATGCGCATGAGCGTAACATACAAAAAGAACAATTTACTTCTTTACGGTGTTATTCTTTTCGGATCGCGCGGAAAAAGGGATGCCAAACGTACATTCCCAAGTCCGAGAAACAACATCGTTACACGTTCCAATCCTGAAATGTAAAAATAATATCTTGAATGTCTGAAAAGCGCCAAGTGTTACTGGAAAACAAATTACGTACCGATACCACCTCCAGCATGTGGCGGACAGCCATACTTGAATGAATCGATATAAGCTCGTATCTTTTCCAAGTCAATTTGGTGATGTTTAGCTCTTTCAGTTAATAAAGATGCATCATGGATTCGTTGAGCGCCAGATAATATTTCTTCACCTGAAATTGCGATCGTTTCACAAAGCGAATTATTATTCATACAATCAGTAACAATTTTCAGTATTCGAAAATTTTTTAGCTGTTCGGTATATAGGAAAGTTCAATTTCCTCATTTTTTTTCATTCTATATATGAAAGTTTTTCTCATAGGAAAGTTTAACTTTTTTCAGATCATTCTCGTTGCTTGAGGGAAGCGAAAACGACCAATTTTTTAGCGTTACATTAAAAAAACATGAATTCATCAAAAATAAATGTTAAACTTACAAGATTACGTCTTCGTCCACTACAATTAGAAGTGAAAATAAAGACAGTCACAAGCAATGACTGTCATATAAGTTATAAGCTAGAGCTGTATCTACTAATTATCCAAGTCTATCAAACGATCATATTAAGAATACACCTCACCTCTCATAAACATATCGTAACTGTTGGAGTACTTTGAATCCTTTGCATCTGGCATTGTATAAAATGGACGAACTGCTAATGGGTATCTGTCGAGTACGTAAAAATCGGTATGGTATTTTTCTTTCACCAACCTACCTAAAAATCTTTCTACCGGAGTACTTAAATCGTCTTCATCTCCTATTTCCACACCATTCTCTCGCAACAGCTTAACAGCATCCGAATATCTGAAATTTAGGCCATAAAAACTCATCAGTTTTTGGCATTTTTGCACTGTACGTACCAATTCTAAATGCAATTAATGCGTGCAAAAGTAAACCAAGTGACAGCAACATTAAATGAAGGTTATCGCAGTACATCTAAAACAAACTTCCCTATACGTGAAGCTATTGGGGCTACTAATACCACAATCTCATATGCGAAAAACCTCATATGCAAAAACGTAACCAACTTGAGTATAACGGCAGGCTCAACGAATTCAAATGGTTCGCAGGGATACTGTTTGCCAACTGTTTCGATTTCATACTTGAATTTCGCTTTCAAATCTTTGAATATATCGATCATAACAGCAGCAATCATTTCAAGAACCTGGAAATCAATTTTAAGGAGAGTCCTCGACAGAAAACTTCGTATCGCTACCTTTATCTCTTTTCCATATCTTAAATGTATTACCATATTTCACAATCCGAAATAAATCAACCTCATGGTAGTGGAATTTAAACGCCATCTCAATATCAAGGCCAACAAATTCTGTTAAATGTCGATGAGTATTACTGTCTTCTGCACGGAAAACAGCGCCAATAGTGAAAACCTGTAGAACAATTAAAATAATGAAAACCTGTGAAATGATAGGAGCGCGTGGTGATGAGAGATAAATTTGAAAGACAAATTAAATTATGATTAACAGTCTTTGAAAACTGCTTACTCTGTCGAAATCTGCAGCGATTGCCATTTGTTTATATAACTGCGGTGACTGAGCAAGATAAGCAGAGCCTTTAAAATAGGAGACCTGAAAGAAGAATGATACTTCAACCGAGTTCGTAAGAGAATTGCAAGGGAAAGACTAACCTCAAAAACATTTGCGCCTCCTTCGCTCGCCGCAGATATGATTTTCGGCGTATGTATTTCCATGAAACCGCGCTTCTTTAAAGTGTTTCGGAACAACTCACAGACACCATCTTGTATAGAGAAAATAGCATGACTTGTCTGCGTACGGAGATCCAGTACTCTTAACATTAACAAATACTTTCTAGACAAATTTATGTACTATCCCTATCATGAATCATAATTGTAACAATGCATTCTCTGACTAACGACGATGAGATTCAATTAGCGAAAAATTTTGAGGTGCTAAGCCTTACTTCACAAGTACTCTGTGACGTAAATTTTTGAGCGATAAAGTTAATCTGGCAAGCAATATTCTCTTCGGCAACGGAGGAACCAAAGGAGAAGTAGAACCAACTAGTTAGTTGGCTAAATCATTCAGCTTAAATATAAACTGAAAAGGACCTGTTATCCAAACGTGTATCGAGATTCACAACAGATAAAGATGATTCTTCGGTATTTTTGTCTTCCTCTTTAAGTCGAGCAGCATCCTCTATCTGCAGTGGTAAGCGTGGTTCTGCTGCGCTAACAACGAACAACTGTGTGACGTGCAATTCGACCTCTTTCTGTGTACAGCTAGTGATTTTTTGTTCCACTTTTTTCACGACACCTCGAATATCAATAATTGATTCCTAAAAATGGTTTGGAAATTGGGAACGCTTACTTACTAAGAGGTGCCGGGGAAAATGTATTCGCATGCAAATTTTACCTTCGAAATGTTTCCAACAAACTTCAGCATTTGTTTGCTAATCTCTTCCCCAACGAACAACATTCCCTGTATGGAACACATTCGCTGACGGATAATAATGAAGCACGTTTTCCCTTTTATTCTCGACGTGTGCAAACGGCCCCGAATCCAAATCTAGAAAACCCCACAGTCAAACTCCTAAGGCTAGCAAATACTTTTCAATAATTTTTTAATATAACTCCAACATAGTATTCTTCGCTAATAGCATAAGATGCACGAGGAATTTTGAGGTCCTAAACTTTATTTCACATCTCAGTAATTTGCAGTGCACATTCTCGATTGATAAAGTTATTTTTTTATTTGAAATTCATTCAAATGAATGAATATCCAATTCAGATTCCCGTGTTTCTGTACGATCAGCCAAAGCTATCTTTAATAAACCAATTTAAACTTTCAACTTCCAAACATTGTGACGGTACATGGTGATTAGTGTGACTGGAAACTACAACACAGATCAGCTCATGGTCTACCAAATTTCGAAACGCAATATCCTTACGACATGTATTTTTTAAATACACGTACAAAAACTGCTCAAAATCTATGTCACAGCCTACCTCCTGTCCTTCTAAACTCGCCAAGACGTCTTTAACATCAGTGAAATCCAATTCCCGTCGCTCAGCAGACTGTATAATTCCATAGGTACCATAGCGACCTTCCGAGACGTCTTCCTCCACTTCTTTCACATTCTCTTCTACACATGCAGTTGCATGCTAAACTTTCCATACTGTTAGTAAAGTTATAATTAACGTCTGCACAGTATCCAATATAAAAGAATAAACGTAAAAAACGATGTTAGATAGTAAACCTCAGCCTTCTTTTCCAGTTTCTTTTGTTGCTTTGCCAATTTGTTTAATTCTTTTTTTGATAGTTTCTTTTCACTTTCAGCTCCATTCAGTCCATCTTTATTCGTCATCTCGGATCGACCTCCTGAAATCATTTTAGAAGCAAGGTGCAATGAGAGCGACATCATAAAGGAAGAATGATGGATATATATATATCGATTCAATAAACCAATCGATCAAACCATCCGTTACCTCACTTTCCAAGACTGTCAGTCTACGGAACCCTGAATGCAAGGGAAAACCAGATGTAAGTACGTCCACATTTCTCTAGCCGGCTACCAAACAGCACATCCCCAGAAAATAATAAAGACTGGGCACCAGGCCTACGATAGTTCGTCTGAGTCAGAGATGGTCGATCGTCATGCCGGTCGCTATGAAAACTGTGATTCAGTCGTATACCATATTAGAACTGGTTACAAAACATTTACGTGTTACTTGTTACGTGTGGTATGAATAGTTGGAGGAAGTGTACTTTGTATTTGGGTAAAGATGCAGTGAAAAGTGCTCGCCACGAATTTCTACTAGACAAAACGAGAAAAAGCCAGGTATACGGTAGTGTGGTCTTCAGGTGTGTATTAGCCTGGATCTCTTCGATCTGATCGCCACCTTTTTACTTGATTGGAGTGTACCTCACCATTCTCTCTCTCTTCATTGAATCATCTTTCTATATTAATGTACGTAAAGTCTCTGGAAAGCGATAGAGCACTTATCATTTAATCGATAACAGCAGCAGTTATCCACGAAATGTTCATGAGATATATCCGAGATTATAATCACGTCACTCTTAGAAATTTCACCAAAATTCCTCACAGTGAAGTTTACATTAGAGTGAATAGCTTCCAGAGGAGTATAAATGACACGAACACAATGACTATGGAAAGCCTAAATTAGGAACAATGCCAAACGATTCCAAATTAAAAGTTCATTCTCATCCCACACTCTAACATTATCTTCAAAACCGATTGACAGTCACCAGCGAACATTTTCTGGTATCAGTTTGTATTTAGAGCAAAAAGTCTTGCATATACGAAAATGCGATATTGACAGATGACTGTCGGATGTTTCTGAGAATCATCGGGGAGGAGAGTAATGCTTCCTTTCCTGCTTTCCGGCTTTTCTATTTTACAAATACCACACGATCGATCCACTTTTTCATTCCTCTCTAGCAGCAACAACATCGACCTATGGATGGAAAAGTGATGAGTTTGAAAAGGATTATTAGCAAGAGAAGGACTAGTACTT